TCCTATTTTAGTGACTAGTGTTTCTAAATAGAGAGAAACAAAACCCTATACATATAACTATATATGCTTTTTAAAGAAGTGTATATCAGTTGAACTTAGTATTTTATAACCTTCCTTTTGATAGTAATGAATCATGTCATCATGTCAAATATACATCTACAAATCTACACCATCATATTTGCTGGCTATATGAAATTTCATTTTATAGGTGAATTATTATAATTTAGCCTGTTCCCTATCATTGGACCAAGAGGATTATTCCCAGTGTCTCAGTGTTATATAAGAGTGTTTGAATGAAAATCCTTGCAGTTAGTCTTTTCTTAAGTATTTATAACCAGGGAAGTTTAACATTTTTCATGTTTTTTGGCCATTTGTAATTCTTCTTTGGGAATTCACTGTTCATGTGTTTGGATCATTTTTTTCTATTGGGATTTTCATAGACTCCATTTGCAAGAATACACTCTCTAATAGCCCCTAAGCCCTAGCCTTTGCCACACATTTCCTACTTCTTGGCCCCAAGAGGTGCTCTGTGAAAAACAAAAGGGTCCATGCTGAGATGAGATTAGAGCCATTATTTCTTAGAATCACACTACACATCAGCATATAAAAGCTCTGAGGAGTATTGCAGTAAAGCAATCTGTTTAATTCTGTGTTGCTGTGTGTTCCCTAAATGATTTTGATAATGGGACCCCTTTCGGTGTGGTGCTGAATAATATCAGTGGGACTTTTGTTCTTCAGAACATGTTCTGGGGCACGCAAACAACTTTACTCAGTGCTTCTGACGGGGAGAACTTATTTTTACCTCACTGTGAGGTGAGGTGGCTATGTCGATTTGATCTTTCTATGCCTTAGGTTCCCAGTTGATTAAAAGATAGGGATTAAAGGTACCAATGGAGAAACCAAAGCCGGTGTTCTAAAGTAGCTCTTTCTAGGGTTAATCCATAAATGATGTAGCTAATCCAGAAACCAGGATGGTCTTCACAGTGTATTACAATTTACTAATATTTTAAATACAATTTTCTTTTTATTCTTAATGTACTCACTTGCCTAACTCACTTATATACTTTTTACTCCAGGTCTTAGTTATATACTTATTATATTTACTGTTAACCAAGTCTTAGGAGCACATAACCTATTCCTTTTCAAATTATGACATAATGTAATATATTGACTGATAGACCCAGAGTTTCACACATACCCTCCCTTTTATTTCTTTAGGAAGAGGCTCTGCGACGCCAAAGGGAGCAAGAAATTGCGTTAAGGCGACAGCGAGAAGAGGAAGAAAGACAGCAGCAAGAAGAAGCTCTTAGAAGACTGGAGGAGAGGAGAAGAGAAGAGGAAGAAAGGCGGAAGCAGGAAGAATTGTTACGCAAACAGGTGACCAGATGGTTTACTCTTCTAATTGCTCCTTTGAAGCCAGTACTGTAATTAGTGATGAAAAAATTATTAGGACATTAAGATAACCTGTCTAAAACCTTTTTGGGTTGCTGAAAATTACCAAAAGAAACATAACTGGCTCTTAGTACCTCTGTCTAAATTTCTCCAAATGGAAACCTGTTTTCTAGGAGGAAAAATAAAATTTGTCTTATTTTTCTGCTTTTGACTCAGCATTTATTTAGTGAAAAAAGTTGAAAAATGTGA